CATAATTCTTCCACATCTTCTGTTGATAATATATATTATATATATATATATATATTTCGTTGCTGTACTCCTACACATTAAAAGTCGGTGTTGATTAGATCTTCGAAATTCTTTGCATCATTTATTATACATCGTTATCTCAAATTATATATATACTAGAAAGCCCGTGGTAACATGGATGAAGCTATTAGTATTCTTTAAAAGAAAGTTTTAAGCGCATAAATAAATATCCATCCAAACCAAAGATACAGAATAAAACATTTAACACTTTACACAGCATTAGCCCCTATTTTTCAACAACATATCTTCATGTAATCAAAGTGAACCTGAGATCAGTGTTGAACCAAACAATTTGCCCTCAGTTCTAGTAGTTATAATAATTTATAGTACTCCTCCAAGAATCACCTTATTTTCAAATGTCAGTGATTTTAATCATTGTTAGTTCTTCCTTTCAGTCTCCTATTGACATATTGACACTAATGATACCCCTGTTTTAGATCGCACTGCAGTTATGGCCTGGATATTAACTTTCAGTCTCCTATTGAAATATTGACACTAATGATACCCCTGTTTTAGATCGCACTGCAGTTATGGCCTGGATATTTACTTTCAGTCTCCTATTGAAATATTGACACTAATGATACCCCTGTTTTAGATCGCACTGCAGTTATGGCCTGGATATTTACTTTCAGTCTCCTATTGAAATATTGACACTAATGATACCCCTGTTTTAGATCGCACTGCTGTTATGGCCTGGATATTTACTTTCAGTCTCCTATTGAAATATTGACACTAATGATACCCCTGTTTTAGATCGCACTGCAGTTATGGCCTGGATATTTACTTTTAGTCTCCTATTGAAATATTGACACTAATGATACCCCAGTTTTAGATCGCACTGCAGTTATGGCCTGAATATTTACTTTCAGTCTCCTATTGAAATATTGACACTAATGATACCCCTGTTTTAGATCGCACTGCAGTTATGGCCTGGATATTTACTTTCAGTCTCCTATTGAAATATTGACACTAATGATACCCCTGTTTTAGATCGCACTGCAGTTATGGCCTGGATATTTACTTTCAGTCTCCTATTGAAATATTGACACTAATGATACCCCTGTTTTAGATCGCACTGCAGTTATGGCCTGGATATTTACTTTCAGTCTCCTATTGAAATATTGACACTAATGATACCCCTGTTTTAGATCGCACTGCTGTTATGGCCTGGATATTTACTTTCAGTCTCCTATTGAAATATTGACACTAATGATACCCCTGTTTTAGATCGCACTGCAGTTATGGCCTGGATATTTACTTTTAGTCTCCTATTGAAATATTGACACTAATGATACCCCTGTTTTAGATCGCACTGCAGTTATGGCCTGGATATTTACTTTTAGTCTCCTATTGAAATATTGACACTAATGATACCCCAGTTTTAGATCGCACTGCAGTTATGGCCTGAATATTTACTTTCAGTCTCCTATTGAAATATTGACACTAATGATACCCCTGTTTTAGATCGCACTGCAGTTATGGCCTGGATATTTACTTTTAGTCTCCTATTGACATATTAAAACTAATGATACCCCTGTTTTAGATCGCACTGCAGTTATGGCCTGGATATTTACTTTTAGTCTCCTATTGAAATATTGACACTAATGATACCCCTGTTTTAGATCGCACTGCAGTTATGGCCTGGATATTTACTTTTAGTCTCCTATTGACATATTGACACTAATGATACCCCTGTTTTAGATCGCACTGCAGTTATGGCCTGGATATTTACTTTTAGTCTCCTATTGAAATATTGACACTAATGATACCCCTGTTTTAGATCGCACTGCAGTTATGGCCTGGATATTAACTTTCAGTCTCCTATTGAAATATTGACACTAATGATACCCCTGTTTTAGATCGCACTGCAGTTATGGCCTGGATATTTACTTTTAGTCTCCTATTGACATATTGACACTAATGATACCCCTGTTTTAGATCGCACTGCAGTTATGGCCTGGATATTTACTTTCAGTCTCCTATTGAAATATTGACACTAATGATACCCCTGTTTTAGATCGCACTGCAGTTATGGCCTGGATATTAACTTTCAGTCTCCTATTGAAATATTGACACTAATGATACCCCTGTTTTAGATCGCACTGCAGTTATGGCCTGGATATTTACTTTCAGTCTCCTATTGAAATATTGACACTAATGATACCCCTGTTTTAGATCGCACTGCAGTTATGGCCTGGATATTAACTTTCAGTCTCCTATTGAAATATTGACACTAATGATACCCCTGTTTTAGATCGCACTGCAGTTATGGCCTGGATATTTACTTTCAGTCTCCTATTGAAATATTGACACTAATGATACCCCTGTTTTAGATCGCACTGCAGTTATGGCCTGGATATTTACTTTCAGTCTCCTATTGAAATATTGACACTAATGATACCCCTGTTTTAGATCGCACTGCAGTTATGGCCTGGATATTTACTTTTAGTCTCCTATTGACATATTAAAACTAATGATACCCCTGTTTTAGATCGCACTGCAGTTATGGCCTGGATATTTACTTTTAGTCTCCTATTGAAATATTGACACTAATGATACCCCTGTTTTAGATCGCACTGCAGTTATGGCCTGGATATTTACTTTTAGTCTCCTATTGACATATTGACACTAATGATACCCCTGTTTTAGATCGCACTGCAGTTATGGCCTGGATATTTACTTTTAGTCTCCTATTGAAATATTGACACTAATGATACCCCTGTTTTAGATCGCACTGCAGTTATGGCCTGGATATTAACTTTCAGTCTCCTATTGAAATATTGACACTAATGATACCCCTGTTTTAGATCGCACTGCAGTTATGGCCTGGATATTTACTTTTAGTCTCCTATTGACATATTGACACTAATGATACCCCTGTTTTAGATCGCACTGCAGTTATGGCCTGGATATTTACTTTTAGTCTCCTATTGAAATATTGACACTAATGATACCCCTGTTTTAGATCGCACTGCAGTTATGGCCTGGATATTAACTTTCAGTCTCCTATTGAAATATTGACACTAATGATACACCTGTTTTAGATCGCACTGCAGTTATGGCCTGGATATTAACTTTCAGTCTCCTATTGAAATATTGACACTAATGATACCCCTGTTTTAGATCGCACTGCAGTTATGGCCTGGATATTTACTTTCAGTCTCCTATTGAAATATTGACACTAATGATACCCCTGTTTTAGATCGCACTGCAGTTATGGCCTGGATATTAACTTTCAGTCTCCTATTGAAATATTGACACTAATGATACACCTGTTTTAGATCGCACTGCAGTTATGGCCTGGATATTTACTTTCAGTCTCCTATTGAAATATTGACACTAATGATACCCCTGTTTTAGATCGCACTGCAGTTATGGCCTGGATATTTACTTTCAGTCTCCTATTGAAATATTGACATTAATGATACCCCTGTTTTAGATCGCACTGCAGTTATGGCCTGGATATTAACTTTCAGTCTCCTATTGAAATATTGACACTAATGATACCCCTGTTTTAGATCGCACTGCAGTTATGGCCTGGATATTAACTTTCAGTCTCCTATTGAAATATTGACACTAATGATACCCCTGTTTTAGATCGCACTGCAGTTATGGCCTGGATATTTACTTTCAGTCTCCTATTGACATATTGACATTAATGATACCCCTGTTTTAGATCGTACTGCAGTTATGGCCTAAATATTTACTTTTAGTCTCCTATTGAAATATTGACACTAATGATACCCCTGTTTTAGATCGCACTGCTGTTATGGCCTGGATATTTACTTTTAGTCTCCTATTGACATATTGACACTAATGATACCCCTGTTTTAGATCGCACTGCAGTTATGGCCTGGATATTTACTTTTAGTCTCCTATTGAAATATTGACACTAATGATACCCCTGTTTTAGATCGCACTGCTGTTATGGCCTGGATATTTACTTTCAGTCTCCTATTGAAATATTGACACTAATGATACCCCTGTTTTAGATCGCACTGCTGTTATGGCCTGGATATTTACTTTCAGTCTCCTATTGAAATATTGACACTAATGATACCCCTGTTTTAGATCGCACTGCTGTTATGGCCTGGATATTTACTTTTAGTCTCCTATTGAAATATTGACACTAATGATACCCCTGTTTTAGATCGCACTGCTGTTATGGCCTGGATATTTACTTTTAGTCTCCTATTGAAATATTGACACTAATGATACCCCTGTTTTAGATCGCACTGCTGTTATGGCCTGGATATTTACTTTTAGTCTCCTATTGAAATATTGACACTAATGATACCCCTGTTTTAGATCGCACTGCTGTTATGGCCTGGATATTTACTTTTAGTCTCCTATTGAAATATTGACACTAATGATACCCCTGTTTTAGATCGCACTGCTGTTATGGCCTGGATATTTACTTTCAGTCTCCTATTGAAATATTGACACTAATGATACCCCTGTTTTAGATCGCACTGCTGTTATGGCCTGGATATTTACTTTTAGTCTCCTATTGAAATATTGACACTAATGATACCCCTGTTTTAGATCGCACTGCTGTTATGGCCTGGATATTTACTTTCAGTCTCCTATTGAAATATTGACACTAATGATACCCCTGTTTTAGATCGCACTGCTGTTATGGCCTGGATATTTACTTTTAGTCTCCTATTGAAATATTGACACTAATGATACCCCTGTTTTAGATCGCACTGCAGTTATGGCCTGGATATTTACTTTTAGTCTCCTATTGAAATATTGACACTAATGATACCCCTGTTTTAGATCGCACTGCTGTTATGGCCTGGATATTTACTTTTAGTCTCCTATTGAAATATTGACACTAATGATACCCCTGTTTTAGATCGCACTGCAGTTATGGCCTGGATATTTACTTTTAGTCTCCTATTGAAATATTGACACTAATGATACCCCTGTTTTAGATCGCACTGCAGTTATGGCCTGGATATTTCACCAGGCGGTTAAGCTTGCGGGTAACGCCAGCAAAGAGATGATGAGAGTTGTGGATAACGCGGCAGAAACTGTTGTCGTTGAAACTGGCATTGGAAAAGCGTTTGAAATTGTTACAGGTCTGCATGTCAAACCAGATGTGTTTCAGAATGGGATCGACGTAGAAGCACCGGATGATACCTATGGGCTCTTTAACAACCCCCTGGTGAAGCTCGAGGGACAGGTCATCAAGCTGAAAAGCTCAGATGGAGATTTTGGTGGAAACAGCAATGGCAAAGTTCTGGTGCATGGAATCAAAGTGACTTCATACACTACTGAAGTGGACAAGAATGGAGTTGTTGCTGAAGGGAACGTTGGTCTATACTTCTCGACAGATGTTGAACACAAGGGTCGTCTGATTCGAATGATAACACCAGAAGAGTTATACACTGCGGGGAAACAGACGTGTTATGAACTTGGCGTTTCGGAAATGATGGGCGACGGTATTGACCATGTTATTAATGCGGTATGCCCTGGGATGACTCTGAAAGAGTTGTGCCATAATCTCTCAAGTACCATTTGGTACTTCCGAGTTGACGGAGGAGTCGGTTTGGGCGTAGGAGGGGCGCTAAAGAACGGAATGGATACTTCCGTCAGCTTCTTTTCTAAAGACAAAGGCGACATGAAAGTTGATTTCACATGTTACGGTTGCTCCGGGCTGTGCCCCGTTGGATTCTTCATAGGCGTGTCCAAGAACCCGGTGGGCGGGAAGAAGTATGCAATTTACCTCGCACCCTCTGTTGGTATGGAAATCGAATGTGTTGAAGCTGGAGTTTCTGTTGCAGTTGATCTTGTACTCGCGTTTGATGATGAGGAGGTGCACGGTAGGCTTAAGGTAATATACTAATATAATACATTATATTATAGCCTGTACAATATATTTTGTTCATTGTACATTGTGTAAATTGTTGACTTTAGATGCAGTGCCACGTGATCTGATTTGATTACTTTTACATCTAGAAAACGTGACAAGTGATCGCTTGCAGAGGTAGCTTTGCCAACTCGCTTGAACTTGAAGTTGCCAGATTTCACCCTGTGTCGGTGATTACGGCCTGACCTGAAACCGGGCCCAGCTTCGAAGAGCTTTGACGATTTGTTTCTCGAGCTCCGCAAAATTAGAAAATTCCCAACCAAACACCTTGTAAATTACAGGATCTGCTGAAGGGAATCTCTCGCCTTCCAGGAGTTGGAGGGCTCATGCAGATGTGTCTGGAGTAGCTGTAGAACAGGTACGTTGGCCGTTGACCACAAAATGGGCTAAGAATGAGTGAAGAGACAATTATGCATGAAAAGTTAATTTTTTGATGATATTTTTGTCCATATTTTTTCTAGTATATAGCTCTTTTGGATCTTTTTCTAGTATATATAGCTCTTTTGGATCTTTTTAATTTAGTTTTAAATCTTTTTTGTTGGTGATGTAATTGGGTTTTGTCCGTGAACATGACGTGAACATGACGTGAATCATTGATTTTCTTTTAAATATATGTTACCGTTCGCGTTATATATTACCGTATAAATATAATTATTTATTAAGCTAAAGCAGAGATGTGATGTCATTTGTCAGACGCAGACTGCGTTTTAATTTACTAAGAACCTGTATAATCTCTATCAGGGGTTACAGAGGTACCAGAACTCTTCCACCCACAGCAATAAGTGATTTGGACCTTCCTTTGAGTTTTAATAAACAACACTAAAATGTGTGTGAGAATTGCTGGTACACGTTCACAGCTGACAAGTTACCCCCCAGTTCCATGGCCGGGTATTTTCACGTGTATGTTCACGTGTACGGTTCACGGGTTTGTTCGCGTGTACGGTTCACGTGTACGGTTCACGTGTACGGTTCACGTGTACGGTTCACGTGTACGGTTCACGTGCACGGTTCGCGTGTTCGGTTCACGTGTACGGTTTACGTGTACGTTTCACGTGTACGGTTCACGTGCACGGTTCACGTGTACGGTTCACGTGTACGGTTCACGTGTATGGTTCACGTGTATGGTTCACGTGTATGGTTCACGTGTATGGTTCACGTGTATGGTTCACGTGTATGGTTCGAACGTGTATGGTTCACGTGTATCATGGTTCACGTGTATGGTTCACGTGTACGCGGGTACGGGCACAAAATGTAGTACCCGTGTCTGTACCCGCAAACCTACCCGGCACCCGTGAAAATACCCGGCCATAGAACTGGGGGTAAGGCTTGAAATACATACCACATTGTTACAATACTTGAGATTACTGATTAGTGGTGCAGCTTAAAAATGTTAAAATGAATATCATTGATATGATGAGGCGAATTGGCATATTTTTTTGAATTGGCATATTTTTCATCAAGAATGGCATGCAGGATCAGGTTATGGAGCTCAGCAAATCCCTCAGTGAGCTAAATTTGTTAGGATCAAAAGCAGGGGTAAGAGGGTGCAAATGTTGTGAAGGGGGCAATGCTATTTTTAAATAATTGCACGGTACATTTATTTTTAATTGTAATTGACGAAATGAGAGTCTCCACTCAGTGTGTTAAAACATAATTCTTTGTCGACGTTTCGGCTACATGCCTTTGTCATAAACAGGACGTACTGAAAACTTACATAGCTGCAAAGATACAATGTTAAAATAATCTATTAATACTACGAAATATAACAACAACAAATAACATCTTGAAACCCAACAACGATCACAAATTTCTCCAAAAGAAACATAAAATATAACGGCTAAAAGAATCCACACCGCAACAAGCCGTGAACAATTCCTCATAGTACTACAAACATTTTACCAAGATAGCTCCTTCATAAAACTGAGTAATCAAAAAATATATACATATATTCTGATTTTTTATCTGCAAAGCCAAAAAATCACATTTTCTCCCATAACTTCAAAGGGAAGCATTTTAGGGTGTTTTGTTGTTCATAACTTATATATAAATGTGCTAGTTGCGGTTATTTTGCACCCTTCAAAAAGTCACTAGCACATTCGTATCAAAATTTTAGAAAAATCAGTAAATATTAAAAACGAAAAATGTGCCTAAATTTGTTGTTTGGCTTTGAGGTCCAATATATCAGAAGGTGAATGAGTAAAAACATTTTTGAGGGCATCAAAAACTGCGCCAGAATTCAGAGAACAATTTGATGTCAAGCATCAAATAATCCGATCTTCCCTGACTGACTTTTTGTTAACGGGTGATACTCGTAAAATATCTGTTCCATATATTGGAACAGGGACCGTGGAACAGGACCGTCGACGAGTCCAACTCGGCGCGCGTCCTGGTAGGTTGTAAACCTACAAACTTTTTGTTAAAATAAGCCTGAAAAGGACAATTTTAGCTTTTTGACTTTAAAAATTCATAACACACCAGCCTTTTTAGATACGATATCAAGATTTTACACACACCTTGACATAGATGTGAATAAACGGCGAGCAAAATTTCAACCCGATACCGCAAGAAATAATTAACTTATAGCGTCTCAACCACAAAATAATTTTTTCCGAAAATTGCACTCTTAACCAGGAAATGCTCGATTAAAAAAATGGGAATTCTCAAAATAATTTTGTTTGGTGTGGAAACGGTGCGCTAGAAGGTCACTGAACTGCCTATGAGGTCATTTGGTCTGGACAGATTTGGGGTATGCCCCCTTAATAAGCTTTATTACAATTCGTAAGCCGTGAATGAATGGGAAAAGCGAGCGACCGATTTCATTCTCGGTATCAATTTGCATTTGCGGACGGTTATTCGAATTAATATCATTTCCTTTTGTTTGGAAAAGAGAGACACTGGCAGCGGTACACTCTACCCATGATTATGGGTTTTGGTCAAATATCATCTCTTTTTGATTATAATTATGTCAGGATAATTTACAAAGCCGAAATGTAAACTCATAACTTCATTAATATTTATATTAATAATTAGGAGGTAATTTCATCGATTTCGAAATTTTACCTGACTGGATATGGCACTTTTTACTCATTCAAGTAGGCATTAAATTCATATATAATGCCATTTAAATATCGTGGGAAAGCAGAATTTATTCGAAATCACGAATGAGCAAAATTCTCACCTTTCACACGTGCAAACTTTGAGCGGACGTTGCGTGCGCATACAATATTGAATCACCGTAAATTTTTGCATAGGAGTATTTTGTATATAGTTTAATTTGACCAAAACCCATAATCATGGGTAGAGTGGACCGCTGCCAGTGTCTCTCTTTCCCAAACAAAAGGAAATGATATTAATTTGATTGACCGTTCTCAAATGCAAAATGATACCGAGAATGAAATCGGCCGCTCGCTTTTCCCATTCATTCACGGCTTACGAATTGTATAAATAAGTTTCGATTGATTACATCAATCAGATGCTGTAAAAATCTCTTTGGGTTGCGTTCGGGTCGATACCTAGTATTTCGGGGTAAGGGACAAGGGTGGTAGTTATTACTTATTGAATAAGCTGAAGTTTATTGAATCTTTATTGCCGAGTACAGCTGCCTTTGGGTAGTTCTTCTTAATCTATTACAATTGTAAATAAACGGGAAAAGCGAGCGACCGATTTCATTCTCGGTATCATTTTGCATTTGAGAACGGTCAATCAAATTAATATCATTTCCTTTTGTTTGGGAAAGAGAGACACTGGCAGCGGTCCACTCTACCCATGATTATGGGTTTTGGTCAAATATCATCTCTTTTTGATTATTATGTCAGGGTACTTTATAAAGTCGAAATATATAAACTGATATCTTCATTAATAAGGAGGAAGTTTCAACGATTTCGAAATTTTTCCTTTAAAAACATTTCCTTGTGTTTAGGGAAGCATATCGGTCGATCACTGACTGAATATGCCACTTAATACTCATTCAAGTTGGCATTAAATTCATATATAATGACATTAAACTGTCGTGGCATTAAGCAGAATTTGTTGGAAATCACGAATGAGCAAAATTCTCACCTTTCGCACGTGCAAACTTTGAGCGGACATTGCGTGCGCATCCAATATTGAATCGCCGTAAATTTTTGCATGTAATTGTTTTATATATAGCTTGATAAGCATGCAAAGTTTCAAAGTATTTCAAGAAGAACTGTAATCACAACGGCAATCTAAAGTTGACAGAAAATGACGAAAACAGCAATTTTCAGTGATTTTAGCAATTTTCTATCAATTTGGGCGTGTCCCCACGTGTGCAACTTTTCGATTTTTAACTTTAAAACTAGCCTAATGCACAATTTATACCTATAGGAAGCAGAACTGAGCTCCACAACCCAAGGCATGGCCCAACACCAGAGAATACTAAATCGCAAAATTGACGTTTTTATAAAATAATTCTTCAAAAAAGCACAAACTTCAATGACGAATATCTTTATGAAGGAGCAAGCTAAAAAAACTTTCCGGTAGATTTTCAGAATGCTTGAACAATTATCTAAGGTGAAAATTTCCTCAGATTTTGAATACGATTACTCCTTAATGGTTTAAAATTAATTTTAAAAGTTATTACTTTGTCAAAAATTAAGTTTTAAAAACGGTTAACTTGATGACGTCATCAAGGGGTGTTTATGACGTCAAATAATTTTTGTATACAATGTAAACTAAAGTGTAAACAATTATTTGCAAGACCTGTGGTCGGAAATGGCTGTATCTTTTATACTTTTGAATCTATGGACACTTAAATACAGGCTACAATTGACTGGCAAAGCGTCTATCCCTGAATATGTATCACGACAATCTATCGTAAAACAGGGGTTCTAGAAAACCCATTTCCCGATGCTCCTGAAACCTGAAACTTTTTTTGCAGTCGATTTGGTCAACGTCTAGACGCCCTGAAAAATTTCAGATCTCTAACTCAATTTTAACATGGTTTTTAAGGCACCTGAATATGGCGATTTTGGGTTTTTTACCGAATTTCGTATAACAGTGCTGGCGAGTATTTTATGCAAATTTCTTAAAAATCTCAACATAACTATTTTTTATTCCTGTCATCTTTGACATCAAATTATAATGTTTTGAACTAAAAATAAATCTGCTGAACGACTTCCGATGAGTCTTAATGCCTGGAAAACTCTTACTGGGCCGCGCTCAGCCTGTCGCCCTGTCATTCCGCCTAATCTCTATTCGGTTGTTTACCAACATTAAAGCCTGGGGTCCTCAGGTAAGGAAAACTCCCGCCTCCGGCCGGAGTGCACGCTTCGCGTGCACAAAAGAGGCTTGTAACGTGTACCAAAGGGGGTGTAATAGTAAAGGGGGTATAATAGTAAAGGGGGTATAATAGTAAATGGGGAACATAGTATACCCACAATAAATGCAACGGTTGTGCTTGCCAGCACTGTGATAAGCATGCAAAGTTTCAGAAGATTTCATATAGAACTTGGATCACAACGGGACTCCAAAGTTGATAAAAATGGTGAAAACAGCAATTTTCAGTAATTTTAGCAATTTTCTATAAATTTGGGAGTGTCCCCTCGTGTGCAACTTTTCGATTTTCAACTTTAAAATTAGCCTATAACACAATTTAGACCTTTAAAAAGCAAAATTGACCTCCACAACCCAAGGGATGGCCCAACACCAGAGAATACTAATTCACAACTTTTGTGTTTTTATAAAATTATTCTTCAAAAAAGCACTTACTTCAATAGCAAATATCTTTATGAAGGAGCAAAGTAAGAAACTTTTCCGGTAGATTTTCTGAATGCTTGAACAATTATCTAAGATGAAAATGTCCTAAGATTTTGAATAAAATTACTCCTTAATGGTTTAAAATCGATTTGAAAAGTTATTACTTTGTCAAAAATCAAGTTTTATTTATCCAACCGGATAATATCCAGATATCAGTAACACTTAATTTGATGACGTCATCAAGTGATGATGATGAAGATACATTATTTTTTAATATAATGTAAACTAAAGTATAAACAATTATCTTTAAAACCTGTGGTTCGAAATGACTGTATCTTTTATACTTCTGAATCTACGGACACTTAAATGTAGGCTACAATTGACTGCCAAAGCGTCTATACATATATACTATACTTCACGACAATCTGTTGTAAAACAGGGGTTCCAGAAAACCCACTTCCCGATACTCCTGAAACATGAAAAAAATTTTACAGTCGATTTGAACAAGGTCTAGACGCCCTGCAAAGTTTCAGATATCTAACTCAATTTTAACATGGTTTTTAAGGCACCTGAATATGGCGATTTTGGGTTTTTTACCTAATTTCGTATAACTGATAACATGCTGGCGCGTATTTTGCGCAAATTTCTTAAAAACCTCCACATAACTATTTCTTATTCCTGTCATCTTTAACATTGAATTAGAATGTTTTGAACTTAAATATACCTGCTGAACTACTTTCGATGAGTCTTAATGCCTGGAAAACAATAAAGGGGATATACTAGTATAGGGGGTAAATAGTATTGTGAATATAAGGGCGACGGTAATGCTTGCCAGCATTGTGATATATACTTCGCTATGGGGTGGTCAGAAGATATGATGGCCCCGTCAAGTCTTGACGAAACTCGACATAGGTCACATAGGTAGGTCACATATATCGCTATTAGGGATGAGATCATTCCAAATTTTGGTAGAGGTGTACATAATGATAAAGTTCTGTTAGGAAATATCTAATCTCAGTAATGATATCGATTCACGTACTCTAGTTCGACACGCACTATAGTATTAGTTCGACAGCTTAAGTTCGTCAGATAGGTATTGTACTATTATATATTCTCCAGTTCGACAAATAGTTTCTAGGTTTGTGATCCAATTCCAAAGGCTATGAGTATTGGTCACAGAAGATACTACCTGTCATAATTATAGAGTCTAGCGAACTCTATCCACAGGTTAGTCATGCAGTGGCTCACAGTCACCATCTGATGACATCTCTTTTTTTGATTTTCGGACTCTCAGACTATCTAGTTGAGTGTGTACCACAACCTAGCACACTGCCTAAACGTTCGGAACTCCCGGACGCTATGTGGCAAGCCTGCTCCCTGGCCTAGTACATAGTACTAGTTTTTTTAAACCAAAAAACGATTTTTTCATGAAACCAAATATTTGATAAAATTAAATATCTTCCACTAATCCCGTGGATATCGGAGTTGATATAGTAATGAAAATGGGGCAATTATTGGTGCAAAATACGCTGCTTTTAGCTGTAACTGCATAATGTCTGATGATTGGATATGCTTTAAATTTTCTGACACTTTCCTTGTAAGTCTTTGAGTAAGCTTACCAATTTTTGTCAAAATTGGATCAGGGGAAGATCACTCAATACGCATTTGTTTCAAGCTGTAAAACTGATTACGGAGGGTGGGGGGGGGGGGGGGGGTAAAAATCTTCCAAAAAATGGTTACGTAATATGTGAACGACCCCATGGCCATATTGATATAGACACATTTCATAATCATATGCATCAAATTGGAAATGGATGTGTTTTCGGTAGAGATATAGCGCGCGCATATTTTGTTTTACCTACTATGTACTAGTACTACTAGTACTACTACTAGTACTACTATAAGGTGGCGCTCAGACTGCCATTCTCAATTCTGCCGCAGCTTCAATCGTGTTTTAGTTTATGAACATTATTAGTATTAGCTATATAATAAGATCCCCGGGTAATCTTTCACAGGAGAATCTGATGCGTAAGTTGTGTTACACTTACACGATTGCCGCGGACAAGAGTGAAGAGATATGCTAAATCATAAATGTGATGTCCCCAACTGTGACGATTAGATTACAGTGATGAGCAAGAACGCTGCAGCATGCTCCAGTTTTACGCAGACCTGAACCTTTGAACTTAATTTTCAAACAAAATTTCAAAATTATGGTTGTAGTGATATCATGTAAAAATAAAGCTTGTTGCTACGAAAACGATGCTTTTGATTTATCAATAAAATTTTAAAGCGGGTGAATTCATAGAGTATATCAAAAATAGTATATTGGTTGCCAATTGGTTGATAATCATATAAAAGTTAGTACTAACATTAAAAAAGACTTGTTACTTTAAAATCCCTTTTAAAAGTACACAAGCAGTGAGCTTAAACGTTCTGATAAAAATTGATATTATACATTAAACAACTACGATCCGATCGCATAACAACTCATTATTGCGAATGTGAATTGAATTGCGGCAAGGAATCTTAATTTACAAAATTACAATAATCGTTAACATCAAACTCAAAAGTTAACACCAAATCATTCATTTGGCCAACACACTTCATCATTCGAAGCAAATCTTATAAAAACAATGCATCATGCTCGCTTGAGACTGGGTAGAAACGTGGGCGAATTTTTCCCTTGTAGTTTGTTTGAAACAAGCATGCAATATTCGGTTTTCCAATTAAATTTAATGGCGCACATAAAATTTGTGTTTCTCGATTGATTGATCCATCAGTTAAGAAAAATAAAATCTTTTCCGAAGAAAGCTCGCTTATAAATTCAAGTCCTCAGCTGCAATAACATGACGTCACTACCAGTATTACGTCCGTCTAGTAACATGACGTATAATGACGTCACATGACGTAAGATGTGAGCTGTTTGAGTTTGGAGGGGAGGGAGAGAGGAGATAGTACCGCTATCACACGCCGTTGTGTCTGTTCGAACCTGGGTTTAGATTTGTTATTATTAAAGTGATCATCTGTGACACGCCATGACACAACTCAACAATGATTAATGAACGTACATGTCAGCAAACAGCAAGTGAGCTTGATCTTTGGAATGTTGTGCACGAGAAAGTGGGAACAAGCATAGGCGACATATAAGTGCGGTGGGTGCGGAATCGCACTATTGACATCATATCGCACTTTTCCGCACCATCGGCCGCTATTCGTTCTATTAGAATTGTGTACTTTGTACCGCTGTGTCGTGAGTACTATGAGATATGATCGATTTGCCTACAAATATGATAAGGGTTTTTGGCGCCCCTAAAAATGTGTCCTATTTCTTAAAATTTCAAAATAGAGGGGTCTCTGGGCCCCTTTGCTACGCCACATAACGTAAACCCTCAACAGATTGGAAGCAAGTAAACTTAGTCACGATTAAATGTATTATAGTTATAATTATAGCTACAGATGTAGATGATATTATAGTTTGTAAGAATTGGGGGGGGTGTAACCCAAAAAAACCCAAAAAAACCCAATCCCAGTATGACCTTTTTCAGGGTAGGAGTTGGGTTTTTTTGGGTTTTTTAAAAATTTTTCATTTGAAGGATATAAAATCATGTAGGCACCTAGCAAAACAATTATCAGTACAACTGACAACATCACTGTTGTTGTTCATCACTACAACATCACAATAGATATAATCGCTTAAATATCACCCAAAAGCAGTATTTTATTCACTGATGTGCTCAGAAGAAGTTGGCCATCCAGATATGATATCAGCCATTATGTAATGCTCACTTCGATGGCCATGGCAAATTGAGTTAGTAGGGACGCAACTCACTGATGACCCCAACCCTGACCGCAACCGGTACGAGAGGAATAAAGCTTTTCTTCTCACCTTCACGATCTCTGTTTCCGTTTTCCTGATCATCCGCTTAACGAGACACCATGCTCTATCTCCAACTGAAAGAATCTTGCAGTTACCATCAGCTGCGTGATCACATGTGATATTAAGTGATATCTTCGCTTGTTTATGGCCCTGGAGTCGCTAAAATCTTGACTGGGATGGCATTCGATCTCGCCCTCCATTGAGGCAAACCTCAACAGCCGTATCATGATGCAGAGCATCACCATACACAGTTACTATTTTCGCCCATTCCTCTGATGAGTCAATATCCTCCACTTCCTCTTCTTCATCATCTGTTTCCGCTTCGTCACTCTCTGCTCCGTCAGAAGATGGTTGGAAAGCCTCTCCTTCAAAGTTACAGTGTTCTTATCGCATCATCAAAATTTTTACAAGTAGGCAGGTGGTCTTTCAATGGTTGTGTGAAGCTTAGGTGGCCCAAGGCGTCACCGCTGGATAGAAGCTGGGTGGAAGCCCTGGTCTGATGTGAGGCTCCCAGAACTTTGAAAAGGGGTATCCTGCTGGTGCCCTCTTCCAGACACTCATCGGACAGCATGATGAAATCCACTACCTCCACGTGGTGAAGACTGGATACTGGACAGGGGGTCCAGGCTAAAGGCAGGACGGTCGACGGGAGACATTGAGCCCCGGAAGTTCAATAATTTGATCTATTGACTCCTTAACTCTTGGTCTACAAGAGGCTTTGAGACTCGTAAATCTTTACTGTGGATTGCACAGTAGCTAAAGAGGTGTTGGCTGTTACCCTGTTCAACCTAGTCTACTATGACTCAGCTAGACTGGACCACACTCTGGTAGTCAGGATACGGCTCCCTATGCCCAGGGTACCGGCCCGTACCGGGTAACGAGGTAGTCAGGGGAAGGGTTAGTCCCCGCTAAAGTGTAGCTCTGTTCTCACTCTAACCTCCTTATGCTTTGGGATAAAATCGGAAAGTCCCACACTGGAGCAGGTGACGATTGGGTAAGGATTACAACTGATGCTGTTTGGTAGAAAAAGGAAGTGTCACATTTGTCTTGTATAGCATATGTTCGTGCAATTACATGCTCAAGATACCCAAGATATTATGGTGAGAGTTAAAGATGGCTTTTGTTCAAGCGGATTGCCTTAACCTTTTACTCTTTCTCTCTTTTAGTGGCGCAAGAGTTAAGAACACAATCCACTGCCAATGTGCAGGGGACTGCACAGGATTGTGAGCCAACTGAAAAGTCAAGATGAATCTTATCAACAGCTTAAGGGTTAAAGCCCCTTATTTTTCTAGTGGAAGTGGTTGCCGGGGTAATTACGCTGCTATTACAGAAGCTGATAACTCGGTCTCCACAACACGACAACCTATTTCTACAGAAAGTCAAACAAGAAAACATCAACAAAATATGAACATCAATTGTATTGTATCATGTAAAAGGACTGCTAAGGCTAGTACATTTAACATAAGAACAGCCAGAGAACAGCACAAACGCATCGAACTTGCAGAACTATTTTCTCGAATCAAACTGCACATCCTTGGCCTGCAAGAACATCATGTAGTGCATTCTGAGCCTACCAGGATAGAAAAGATGAACAAAGGGATTCATCTAGTGACCTCATCTGCGTGGAGAAACGCAGCTGGCGCTTCTAATGGGAGAGTAGGAATCATCTTGACGAGGACAGCATATGAGGCTATTTAAGTCTTATAAAATCTTACAGCGCAAGGATCCTCACCATGTCTTTCAATGGAAAGCGCAGGCTCACTGTCATCACATGCTACAGTCCTACAGAAGCCTCATCTGATGAGGAGGCAGAAAATCTCTTTCGTCTAAAACCAAGCATCTTACTGTTAATTTAGTAGAAGAGGAGCCACACACAATAACTTCTAAGGACGGACATGCCTTAGAAGAAGTTGAGGATTTTTTCTACCCAGGAGCCTGGATAAGTACAACAGCTACAGAGCACGACTTTAGGGTACGCAAGGCCAAGGCATGGGCTGCCTACCACAAAATGAAGGCTATATGGAGGTCCAATTTGCGCCGAGATTTAAAGATCCGTCTGTCTCAAGGCTACAGTTGAATCAATCTTCCTGTATGGAACGGAAACGTGGACAATGACAGAATCTTTGAAAAGAATAGACGGATGTTACAGTAAAATGCTTTGGATGGCCCTAAACGTGGACTGGAGAGAACATCGCACCAACAAAGAGGTCTTTAAATCACTCCCAAGAGTTAGTTCGAAGATACAGGCCAGAAGAATGAGGTCGGCTGGGCACATCCAGAGATCCAGCGATATGATGACCTGGCAGTACACCAACTTCTCCTTCGGGAACCTAGCCATGGGACCAGAGGGAGGGGCAGACCACCGCTCACTTTCGTCGATAACCTAATAAGTGACACCGTACTCAAGAACACTGGGGAGATTAAGGAGCTTATGGCGGACAGAAAGCTTTGGAGACACATCATTGAGACTCGGACTCTGAAGCCGCCTTAAGTCAAGTAATTTAAGTCATGTGCTTTGACTTGCCCTTGACCTTCGTCATAGCCTCCTTCCATGACAGGAGAACACATTTGCCACATTTGGCACATTTCCACTTTGTGCATTCATATGGATTATATCTCGATGATCGAGACATCCTGTTTGCTATCGTGATAACATACTATCAATATAAACACACTCATATACTATGTAAACTATCTATTAAGTTAAGACATGAGAACAACACGTAGGTAAAACTCAGTGGGAAATAATTCACATTCAATACAATTAATGAAATGGCTAGAATTTTGTTTAAATTTTGTTTAAAAAACCCAAAAAAACCCAAAAAAACCCAATCCCAGTATTACCTTTTCTTGGGTAGGAGTTGGGTTTTTTTGGGTTACACCCCCCCCAGAATTTTAACTTATAGTTATACACAAAATGTGTAGGAATCTTAAGTTGCAAAGTTACAATACTTGAATACTCTGCATCAACTATTCTCATCACTTGAGGCCAGGGCGGAATTGCACTTTTTGCATGATATTACCGCACCTACAGGTTGCCTCTGGCCGAACAAGGGTAGAGATATGGACAATGTCACCGGAGATAAAGTGATAATATCTCACAGAGCTATTAACATTCAATAAAAATGAACAGCAACTTACCCCTAATTTTAGGAGGAGGTTTGGACATAGCTATACTCGGATCAGTATATCCCATCTGACCTGGGGCTGCTACCGGAAACTGAGCTGTGATAGGAAATAAGGTCACAAAACAATAAACATGGCATAGATCTTGACGGTTGAGATCTTTGCCCCGTATAACTTATGATTGATCGACTACTGTCAGTAACGGGCACACAGTAGTATCGTAGATAAGTAATCGGTGAAATATTGAACGTTAATAAAATGTCAGTCTCTTCTAATTCCGTTCCAAGAAAACATGTCAAACACACGTTCCCATGGGATTTGTTGAAACTTCGAACTCACAATGTATGGAGCTGATGGAGCCTTGTTTAGATTTAGAAGGAGGAGCAGTGCTCATAGAGAGGGCAGGGTCCGTGTATCCTATCGGTCCTGCAGGGGCAGGGAATAGATCCGCTTCTTCTCGTGTAGCTGGGGTTTCAGTAAATTTAGGAGGTATGGCTCACGTTTCTAATGAGATCAAACTTGAATAAGTTGAATAAGTAATGAAGTTTTGTAAATTTAGGTAAGGTATACAATTGAATGGGGCTATCGTGCAGTGATTATATTTCAATTTTCATGGCATAACTAAGAGGGCTGAGAAATGGAATTGTTTTCCACTAAGACGTACTGAAGTTTTGAAAGAGATTTTAACTTACGATTAATTGTAAATGTGCAAATGTGTTTCTCCCGGCGTGTGCTATACAGCACACTTGGGTCAATGTAGAGTGGTGAGATGGGGAGAATGTTGAGAATGTTGAGTTTGGGAGAATGAGGGGTGAGTGCTGGGTGAAACTGATTAATATCAATGTTATCCAACTAAATCATTGCTTTGAACTGTGAAATTCGTCTTTTACTTTAATTTATGGCGAGTTCCAGCACGTATTACAGAGAAAGAACGGATAAGAAGTACTATCACATAAGGTTCGGAAATATATTTTAGATATCTACTGCTGCGATTATTTTCCCGAATCAAAAATATCACGACAATTGTTCGGCTATATTTTTTTGGAAACAGAGGATGCTCAATGCTCACTGCTCTTCAAACCGGTAGTAATGACACGAGGCATCACTGGTCGAATGTCTGCTGCGGCCGCGAGTAGCCCCGAGCACCATATCATTTGCGCAACAGCTGTACAATAGTAGTAGTAGTAGTGTACAATGTATAGAACATATTGTATAGTACAGCTCTACATTGTACAATAGTATCAGTAGTAGTGCAGCGTACAATGTTTTGTTTACTGTGAGACAAACACCTACCAATTAAATTAAATTTGGCATGCGAATTTAAGCTAGTGATGTATATAGATTTAACTGTTTACGCACGGAGCATATTTTAAAATAAGTGCTCGCAATTCATCATTTGTTCGAAGCCCAGAACTTTTGTGCCGATTACAAATATTCGTCGATGGGGGAACCTTCAGAGAAACCTCAAACCTAGCAGTATTATGCTTCCATACAATAATTAAGGACTTACTCTTGTTTTTAGGAGTAGGAGGTTGTGTCATACTGAGACAGGGGTCGTTGTAGCTAATAGGACCGGAGGCAGCAGGAGGGTACTTGTAGCTGTTGTACTGAGGGGCAGTTCCTCCCTGGCTCATCGGTTGGGACGCTTTCTGACTCATCGGCTGTGACGTTTTACTGGCGGCAGCAGCTTTCGCTTTATTCTGCTTGTTCTGCGAAAAATTGTGATGTAACAAATTGGAAGGTTTGATACTACAGATTATCACATTGTGAGGAATAAAGTAGACTTATTATGGATATGGTTCAGTACAGTTTAAAATAACTGCCCAAAATAACTGATATTTACCTTGCCGGCCTTAGCAGAAGACTTGCTCATTCCACTGCTTTTTGGTCGGGCCTGCTCTGAATGGTCTGCTCCCCTGGGGTCACTGATAGAAACAGAGGCTACTTGGTTGTTGAGCTCACAGTTCACGTAGCTACTCTCCGTGTAGGGGCACTCCGCCGGCGGAGGAGGGTGTTGTTGGGGTTGTTGGGGTATCGGGGCAGAGTACGGGTCTTCAAATAAGGAGCTCGATCCGTTACGACCAGAAAAACTTACAGGCGTTCCTGAATTTTGACGTGGTAAAAATGAGAACATCCCTCATGTGTTACTCTATGCTTATATCAGTTTATAGCATTATTAGAAAAGTTTATTTGGCATGTACACAAGATGAAACTTACCCATGTCCCCAAAACTGGCGACGACAGGTGTCGACCTCTGGGAACCACGAATCATGATCTTGTCTCCTAACTCGATCGGAGAACCAGAGCCGGGTAACCCCACGTGGGCGTAAATATAGTTCCCTCCTCCGTTACTAGGGCCACTGTTTATCACTGAGGTTCAGGGATAGGGTCAAATTCTAAAGATAGATTTGTAACCTTATTTGTTGGACTCCTTTTAAAGGGAATCAGAAGTTCTAATGAAGACAAGGAAAGGGGATTCACTACGAGGATTGCTTCGGTGGATATTATTCTTTATTGATTGATCAAATTAAAGTTGTAAAATGTTGTTACCATCCTGGGGAGGCGGCTGAGTTGTAACGTTCATATATTCGCTTTGTCCTGGCCTACTGACACTGGGTCTGATGGGCTTTACTGGAGGGTTTCCCACGGCACCGTCAACTGAAACAGATTCCAATAATGATGTATGCAGCATGTCTTATCATAAATAAGTGGAAATACTGATAACATATTATAATGATTACAGTAAAGAAAAGACATTACAAGTTGTAAAATTAATAACAAATAATATGATAAAAGTATGTGCGGGAGACTTATAAATGGATAAGAACTATGATTAAATACCAGCTTTTATTTTTACATCTTTTAAAGATTTTATATAGTCTCTTATGCAGGACTGATTAGCTCTTTGGGATATTTATTGAACCATCGGAGAGATTTACAGTGTTATATATATATATAAAATACCAATGACGAATGACTCCTACCTTCGTATCCTGATGAATTGTCAGGCTGCTGTTTGGCTGAGGGGAACTTTCCAAGTCTCACATACTCATTCTCTGTTCCCGTTTGTTTCCCGGACGCGTTGGCGCTTTGTTCTGTCGTGTGCGAACTCGGATTCTGAGTCACTGTGGGGGAGAAAGTTACCATCTACTCCTATCATCTGCATTGTTTAAACATTTAGATAGTTTTCATTCAAGCATTTACTAAATACGAAGCGATTCAAAAGTCTTGTATGCCAAGTTCACATTAACCATTCTAAAGGCAGTTTATGGAGTGAACATTTGATACTGAAGACGAGATTGCAGCGTTTAATGGAGTTAAATGCAGGCTGACGTACACTAAACGTAAGTCCTGCACACTGCTCTGCGTCACTAGATATAATGGGAAGGCTAGAACTAGTGTTCTACACCCAGTAACCAGCTCGACCACGTGCTAATCTCATCAGAGCGTCGTTACCTTCTCTCACGAAATTCATCTAACCCAGGTTATGTGAATTGGACACGATTGATTGGTTTATGGCACCCCGTATCTCCGTACTCAGTCACCCTAATTGTGCTCTGTCATCAGCTTTTTTATCATTTAGCCGAGTTGGCGAAATTAAGTTGCAATTGCCGGACTGTACAAGCCAACTACAAGCCAACTGTACAATTAACTGGATGTAATTCCCAGCGTACAGGAGGTGAGTTGTGGACAAAACATGAACAATACTGAAATTATGTTGTATTGAGAATAGTACTTGTAGCGACAAAGATAATCAGTAATGACAAGACAGTAAGACAATAACGACATCAAGATCAAGTAGAGTGGGGTGTTTGTAAGATATGGACCATCTTGAGTTCAGACAAACCGGCGTATTTGTAAGAATTAGCCCTCGTATCTCCAGTCTCCATTTTAGAGAACTCCTCATCCAAGATATCCGCCACACTTCGTCTCTTTTCAGAGGATTCCGTGGCTGTGGACTGGTCAGAGCTGCCGGAGGGCGCCAGACTGCGTCGGTTCTCGTGTGGATTTACTGCGTAATATGGAGACATGACGTTGTGTGGTGGGGACACATTGAGACACATGCAACACTGATCTCAGCAACGATTAGTTAGCGGACCATCCCAGGGGACGAGCTCAGAGATCGGGTAATCAGAGACTGGGACTCTAATCAGGACTCTAATTAGAGTTCAATTAGCTGAATCTGAGGGTCTCACAGTTTCACTCACACGTTCAGTGATCCAATGTTTTCAACGCTTCTGACTGTCATCACGATTAGGCAGATAAGGACTACTTTACTGTCAGGAAGTAAGGAAGTTAGACTGGACTGTCACATTTACACTATACAGTCTATACTATATACAAAATCTCTCTCTTCACACTTGCATGAATTTAAACAATTACCTACACACATTTTGAACTCTCTCTCCAAAATGCAATGGCTAACACTGTGAACGAGAGGGCAGATTATACATTTAACACTAATCACCACAATCCCTGTTTTACCAATAGAAGATCCACAGTCTAACACAGATGAATATAGCAAGTAACGAGAATTAGGGAGAATTAGCTGGATATACAACATGCAGTGATAAGGATCATCCGTTCTTTTGGTTGTTGAAGACGTCCCGTTGATTCCTTGCTGGCCAGACTTATTGATGGATCACAGGTAATGAACATGCAAATTGCAAGGTGAAAACCTGTTTTTAATTGTGTGGGTACTATTCAACTTTCAATCAGATATTAGTCCTCAATATTTGGACGACAAGCCAGTTTCAAATTAGAAACCAAATATTTCTTAGCGCTTATCCAAGCCTGATCACAAATCGCCATAACGAAGACAAGGATGACAATTACATTACATAATCATGAACAGCATTTAGACAAAATATTGCAGAAACTTGAAATGAATCTAACAGTTTAGTTTTTAAACAAAATAAGACATCGAACCTATACATTATACAAGTTGTCGGATTTTTACCAAGTTAACATGCGATTTTTTTACATCAAATGTTCATGCTTGCCGAGAATGACTTAGAATCTTAATCCAGCGGCGTGAATTACATGTACCATAATTGGATGGGAAATACTTATTTTTGTTACATCATCTCAATTATAATTATTTAATTACACATTAAATATGGCACATAATCATGACATCGTTACCTGTCATGCCTGATACAGCCGGATCAGTGTACGTCATATGAGCGAGGGGTTCACCTTAAATTATGCGGGGTAATTTCACGCGGGACAAGATGTACAATAACAGCAGATCGCAAATTAACAATTAACTTAGTGATAATAATTAAGCAGTTAGCAGGTAAGCTGGAGCCTGCACAGAAACTAAGCGAAACAGATGAGCTTACGATAGCTTGCAGAACTGCAGAAGCTTGAGATGATTGGTAAACCGAGATATGATATTTCTAGGATCAATTAGCGAGGCGTTTCTAATTGAAAAATATTTCAACTGGAATTTTTTTAGGACGCTTATCTTTGAACCGGATTTCTTTTAATGCTGAAAGGTTTTAACTGATATTTATTAAAACTTACTTGGTGTCGGAAGAGTCGCATTATTGCCGCTGAAAATACAGAGTTCAAATTGGAAAATAAGTTGGGGGTGGTAAGAAACAGCCCTCGTGGTATTGAGTGTAAACCAAGGCCAGCTGAGCTCGATCGGGAATTCAGAGGAAAGAAATCCTACAGAAATATTACCAAGTTTATTGAATGTATAGTAACTAAAAAATAAACTTACTACAGAGGAGCAGCATGGGGTTTATAGGAGGGGTTTTTGAGGGGTTGGAGGCCTACATCCTTGTTGAGGTGGAGATAGTACGCCACCACATGTTCTAATGTGTCGAATCTTTTACCCTACAAATATTTCCATAAAACCAAAGTGTAGAAGTTAGAAGAATTTTTTGACACGTTATTAAACTTTTGAATGTACAGGTTAATCAGATACGTTTCATAAAATAAATTTAGTAAAACAAGTTTACCGGAGCGGGTACTAGGATGAACTTGTTCTCAGCGTGATCCCGCTTAATGATGTAGTGGAATATAACCATGTTATCCTGGTTAGAAACACGCACTGACAGAGAATAGGACCCCGGCTCGTGTCCACTGTCTCTCACTGAGGTTATCGTCAATTATATAACCAATTAGTAGTTACCATCAATTAAATAAGCGATTAGTTAATTAATTATATTAATATGTTAAGGTTCAGGTGATCAACACTGCCTAAGTGTTCAGTGTTCACGACTGATCTCTGAGATACTCTATAGTATGAACGATGTTTTTTCTATCTATATAAGTTCGGACTCACCCAAGAAATGGTTACTGTCAACTTGTTTGAGAAGCTGCTCAGCCTGATCACGTGTCTTGCCAGGCCAGTACCACTCGTGTTCAGGAGACATGTTGACAACTAGTGTACTGTCGTAAACCTGGGGTTCAGGGTGGGACATCTGGGCTGGCCTCATCGAGGTCATCCTGCTGAACTCGTTCAACTGAAAGAGGATGGGTGTAATTGATAGATTTCATAAACATTAATAGAACAGTGGTTCTTGTTCAAATAGTTCAAACTTACAAGCATATGAGAGTCGATGACCAAAGTGGAGAGATACGAAAGAATACCTTTCAAAAGAATTAAGTTGTAGAAGTACTATTTGCTAATTTTTTAGAATTTGAATTAGTTTATGGTAATATTATTTAATCCTGAACAAGATTGCAGGAATTTTAGTATTATGGTCGTTTTGTGAGAAATGAATACACTCGTCTTAACGAATTTAATGTAAGTAATATACTTATTACAATTTTACTATAAAAAACAAATAAATATCATCCTATTTTATCCTACAATTGCCCTTTCTTTAAACCCTGTGAAATCGTTCTTACGTAAGTTTATGATTATTGTTCTTGTGTCAGTTATGTGATCATTAAATGCGTCAGGATTTACGTCATTCTAATTCGTTCACTTTTCTTATTTCCAACGTTGCTGTCACAGAAGCTTTTAGATCTCCGTAAAAATCCTATTTTACCTAAATTGTACCACTTTATTTAATTGATTTTCCTATTGTCCTATTTTATTCAATAATCCTATCCAGTCTCATATTTCCCAGAAGAATTGAGGGCAGAATGCGTTCTCCAGGGTTACACTGACAGCGCTGGTAACAATCAGCCCAGCTCCCAACATGCACATCCAGTTAGCGCCCTCTTTAAAGAGGAATACCTGGACTACAAACGCCAGCACTATGTCCATGTTCCTCATTATGGTAGCTGAGGCTGACTTCTCAATGGAGAGACCCACGTTGAGCATGACCAGAGCAGCACAAGCCCCGACCCCACACGCCAGCAGGATGATCCTCTCATCAATACAACCAGGACTGGTGTAGGCGTCCTCCGTCACCACATTCAGCACACTACCACACACTATCACCCACAGGTTGGTGTAGAAGGGGGTGACAGCTGGGTTTACTTTAGGACCGATAGCTCGTTGAGTGGTGTAACCTATACCAGTGGAACATGCTGCTGTAAGGGCTATTAGACAGTACAGGTGGTTGTAGGTGTAGGACTCGTTATCATGTCCGAACACAAAACTCGGTTGAGCAATGAGGAAAACCCCAGCAAATCCTAAGATGACAGAAGTGGCGTTTATTAATGAGTACTTCTCTTTGAGGAAGATTCTGGAGAAGAGGCCTGCGAATATTATGGCAGTGAAATAGATTGAAATAGCATCGCCAATTTTCATGTTTTTGACACACCAAATTTTGAGGGTTTGACCGAATCCATGAGAGATGCATCGTAGCGCAACCAGGGGTTTTTTAGGGAAGCTGAAGAGTGAGCTACCATTGTAGAATGAAGCAGGAAGCAGCAGTAAGACACCAAAAGTCCCTCTAATAATAACAAACTGCCCAGGACTAATAGTATCAAGAAATTTAGCTGCCGTAGCTAACGCACTGTAGAGGACGGAGGCCCCTAGAACTAAACACAAGCCCATAACCCGCTGAAAAGGACTCCGCTTGAACTGGGAGGGATGCGGCAACAGATCTGAGTCAGACTCCGTTACTTGGCTATACTGGGATTCAACCATAGCAAGGTCATTAGAATTAGGTAGCGTGTTGTCTGAGGTTGAATCTTCTTGAGCAGGGTGGAAGTCCAGGACGGAGTGGTAGTCTGGCTCCCCGGGTTGTATTCCAGATGATTGGTGGGTCTCGGTCGGGGAACCTTCATTGGGCTGGGCGATGCTATATCTTGCCATAACAGATGCTGCTAAAAAGTGGATTTTGGATCAAATCACCAATTTAGGTTGATGGAATATTGTGAGGTAAAATAATTTTCTTCGGGATTAAAAGCTATTGTCTTTGTCCAGAGTGTGTTATGTTTTCAAGAAAATTCAACCGTTTGTAAAATAAGGCCAAAGTAAATGCAAAGCGAGTTCAATAAAACCACCAAGAGTTTACGGTAAAAACGCTCGATCATGGTGTGAAGTAGAACTTGACCAAGGGACAACAGGTATTTATTGTGCATATTTGACTTATGTATGTGCTTGTTTTTTGGCGCATTCTCATCGTCTAGGTGAGAAATTTAAAAGAAAGCCAATCGCTTATGAGTACATAAATCACATGACCCCACCATAAGACTTCCCAAGTAAAGTCCGTTGCTAAGTTTTAGTGCTTGTTCCTAGAGCAGGATACAACGTTTTTGATCATGTGGTTTTTTGAATCTCCAAATTCCTCAAGCTATGATTTATGCGATCTGGCTACACACGAACTGTACTGATGACGTCATAGGACACCTGACTGATTTGTTGAAACACGAGAATTGAACGAGGACCTTAAAATCTTTAATCGCGCCGACATTATTGAACCGGAATAAATCACATACAGGGACGTAAGTCTGTGATTTTCAGCCTTGAAAGGGAGCAACTGCTTCACAAGATTACGATCATCCCAGCAGCAATATGCGCTGCAATGAAAAACACTATTGTTCCAGTAATGAATTTCTGGAATGTCTGCTCTATCCACTAAAGGTTCGGAACTACAGACATCGTGATGGCTACAAGATTGTAGCCTTCTTCTGGAGCGGGATAGGACTATTTACCATTGGAGAAGGCATAGGAACAAATTTCTACTCACATTTGGATTTCTTTCTCACGTTGGTAACAACGCTGGCTATCCTCATAAAAGTCAACAAGTATAGAGGTTTGAGCAGAAGAGGAGTTATTTCAGTTGTACTCGTATCATTCGGGTTTTAATTCTTTACATTTCGATATGGAATTGGATAAATGCATTATTCTTTAAAAAGTTAGTTTTTTAAAACAATATCTCAGGATATTTACTACATTGGCTGTTATCCTGTTAGTGTTATCTATTGTTTGACAATTCGTAGCTTTGAAGAGTTCGTGCAGAGTTTTCATAGTTTCATTTTAGATAAAAACATTGTTGAGCCTATTTATGCGGCTGCAAATTATTCATTTGACCATTAAATTTAAATCAGTATGGAACAGTCCAGATGAAATCAAAATAGCTCCACCGGCCTGGCGGCCTCCTTCGCTAATAGATTTATAACAGCTGTCCAGAATATGTACGTGCTCAATATTAATAGATTTAGTGTGATTATTTAGTGTCCACTGTCCATACATTAGATTGCATATTGCATATGCCCCCATTTTCTGCTTTCTTTATAATAAGAACTAAAACAGTTCTGAATTAGACTGAACGTGATGGTTTTCAATTCAACAGTCCTAGCTGATGGACTGAAGTTCGTGTAAATTGGATGGTCTGTTGTAGCTGCTCTATTATCCATAATCGGAAACACTGTTCTCCTTTTTGCTTCAATTCGACGTCATGCTATAAAACTCGACAGAATAACGATCGTTCTACTGGAAAACTTGGCAGTAGCAGATTTAGGGTTCGTCTTGTTCACCATCATATCTAGAGCAGTCCACATACTGCAGAACAACGATGATACACTCTTTGGACATGGGCTCCTTCACAAGATTACAGTATTACCAAGACTGGTATGTACAGCGATCAACTTCAGTCTCTTCCCCCTTCTGAACTCCAGTAACCTTCTCTGTCTACTTTACCCTCTCAGAGTTAGAAACTACAGGTATAGAGACGGTTACAAGTTGGTGGCAGTTTTGTGGAGCGGTTCTGTGATGGTCTGGAATTATGGTCTGGACAAAATTCCTCTCAAGTTTTCCTGGTGGGATCTTTATTGCAGTTGCAGTTGTTCTGTTTGTACTGCTAGTTCTTATACTGACAACTACAATTGCTCTGCTTTTAACAGTTCATAAAGCCCGAGGACTGACTCGGCAGGGATTTGTTTCTGTGATCCTAATATCGATAGTATTTTTAGTTTGTTATATTGCCATGTGGACAGCAGATACTTTGTTTTCTTTTGCCATCTTCAGAATATTTTATAGCATATCTTACGTAAGTTGTTTTAGTAACACTTTGATCTATTATCGAACAATTCGTAGCTTTAAGGAGTTCGTAGATGACAATATTAAATATTGGTGGGTCATATTTTCTTCCAAAACGCAGTCAGTACTCTTGTACTAAGTGGTGGGTCTGCTGCTCATTTCCCAGAAAAACAGTTAGTACATGGTACTACGGGGTTCATTTTTTGGGTGTCCAACCCTTAAAAAAACCCATTTTACCTCAAATTTCAATTTTGGGAATCGGTTTTGAGGTTTTTTTGAGTTTTTTTTGGTTTTTTTTAATTTTTAAAATTTTGTTGTAACCTTTAATCTAATTCGACTACATTGAAAACAAAACCACAACTAAATAGTGGGTATAATTTGCCCATTTCCAATTTTTTAATGAGCTGTTTAAAGCAACTTATGGGTGGGTATCTTATTTTATATACCCAGACTCAGTTAGTACCGTGATTTCTCAACAGTTAGTACCGCAAAAGCCGGCAAAAGGGGGTGGCCGGGTGGGTGTCCTAAATATTATCCGAAAATGCAGTTAGTACCGTGAAGGGGGTGGGTGGGTCCTTTTTGTAAAGTCCAAACTGCACTTAGTCGACGTCACGTGCGGCACTTAGTACCTGATCCCCCCGCTCTAGCAGTTAGAACGTATGTTTTATTTGTTAGGATCCTTAATTAATACTTTACTAAACATACCACTAACGGAAAAATCTGCATATTTAGGATTTTTACTATTTTCTTTTCGTATAACATCCCTTAGTCTAAATTGCACAGAAAACATTTATGCAAATTTAAAGTATCTTAAATTTTCTTATTGACCGTAAAAGCAAACAGGCATAGCATAATTCATTGGCACCTTGGCTGCTGTTTCTGTAAGAGAGATGTGTAGCAAATATGCTTCACAAGCAGTAAAATTCGGACCAGACTTCAGGTCATGATGCAACTTACGAAATAATCGCACGCAAAGTTGACTTTTTGCGAGGATGTTACCAACTTAATACCAGTCTTAGTGACCATTATAAAGTGTCCTCCGCTAATCATTTATTCCGAGGAACCCGAAGTATCGGTATT